TATAAAATATAAACTAATTCTTTAAAAGTTACTGATTTTTTTTTTATTTTTAGGTACGTTTTAATGGAATTTATGCATAATACTTAGCAGACAGAAATGTGCCATGGGAACCGTCATCACATGAGATGTCTTAGTTTTGTTGTTAGATGTTTTTTACTTAGGAAATCCAGGGCACAGGGACCCCTTCATATAAGTGATTAACTTAAAGATTAAGGCATTAACTAAAGTGTTTCTGTAGTAACAATGCTACTTCTCACAATCACTGCCTTGGACCACTGGGAAATGTACTGAAAACAAGGCAGCAAATGGACAGATCCATTTTAATATTTTATTTTGCATGTCCTTGCTAGGTGCTTTCTCCCAGTATGAATACTATTTCTACACCACTTTATCTTTACATATAATGGAAATTCTGGGGTCTTAATATGGCAGACTTTCTTATTGTCAGGTGCTTAATTTCTTACTTAACAGCTTTGAGACCTTAATGTAGTCCAGGTGTTGATCCCTTTAGTATCAAAAAATATTAATTAGGTTTTTAGATAAGGAATATAATAATTTTTCATTATGCGTGTCAGGAGAAGAGTGAGTTACCAACCTTTCATGAAGGAGAGGGCTATGTAAGGTATTGGCATAGGGCCTTCCACAAGAAGTAGAAGTTTAGTACCAGCAAAGCATGAGCACCTCACTCTAGCTGAAGCCTATTTGTCAGTCACAAATGACTGTCACGTGCACAGAGAATGATAACTCATAATTTTACAGAGCCAGCAGTCCTGCCATGCTAGCTGAGTGCTGGACACTATAATGGTTGGCAGATAATTACTCAGTATGCAGTGATACATGTCATTTGGGTTGATAGGTTCCTGACATCAACATTGTTATGCAAAATGTCATATTGCACATTCCCCAGCCCTTTCCCCAGCTTGCGTTGTTTCTCTTGCATTCTTCTTCCTGGCTGTTATGTAGGCAGATTCTACTTCTTTGCTGCTTGGCCAGGTTTAAGTACTTTTTCTCATTATTTACTGACTGAATGGTAGCTTTTGCTGTAGTTTCCACCTTGTGTAAGTTCTCTCACCTTTTTTCACTTTGGTTTTTAAACTTGCTTTGAGTATGATTGGGCTTTGTCTCTTTTGAGCTATGTTGACTCGACTGAAGTGGCAGATTTTGAAAGTTTCCTGAGCTATTTCTCACATGCAATGTCTGCAGAATGGATCTCTCTTGCAGTCTAACTTGCTTACTTTACAGTCAATGTGGTATTTTTGCTCTGACTTCACCTAATTTGATCTTTTAGTATTCCACAAGTAAATTCAAGTTTCACCTTATACTTAGAGAAGAACCATTAATAGATGCAGAATCTTTGTAAACATTTTTGCACACTCCCCAGTTTATGGGGAGGCTTTAGAGTGCTTCTTCCATGTTGGCTCTACACATTATGTTTCTTGTGTTTGCTCTTATCTGTACCCAGACTGTTTATCATAGGACTCTCAGTTGTAGTTTACTTCCATCCATTTATGTTCTCTTTCCACTTCCTCATGGTTGTTCATTTTTTCTCTCTCTGACTTTCTTTAAAAAACAAAAAACTTCATTTTGCAGTCATTTATCTAGGATCAGCTGATGCATGTTGCCAGAAATCCACATTCTTCTGGCTTGTTGCCCCAGAATTGCAAGGGTTATACTCTATTGTCTCAATATATTATTTCTTTTTCCACTCTTGAGAGAGTTACCTGTCAGGATAGTACTGCCAGCTCACTAAATCAGAGCTTTAATTTTGGGTAGACCTTCTCTAAATTTTATTGCTGATTTAATCCTCCTTTTTTTTTTTTTTTTATTTTCCCTGGTACTGCTTATCACAGCACTAGAATATCATCATCCATATATCCTTGAGTAGCTGTTTGGGTTTTTTTTATTTGATGACTGACTGCCCTTACTTTATTTGTTGAATCCTGTCCTTAGCACTTTCACTGATGGCTGTTTATTGCTGTTCTCATATTTTTGTGCTGTTTTGCAAACTTTAGGTGTCTTTTTTCCAAAGGAAAAAGATAGATCAGCTGTTTATCTTGCAATCTGAGATTGCCTTAAACATGCTGATCTTGAGCCTTCTCCTTTTGAAAGCCTTTTTCTTCACTGCAGTATTTTCTTCAAGATAGTATTTCCAATACTGCAAAAAACCAATTAAGATTCAGTACATGTTCTGCTGGCCTTAATCCTGCATTATCTTATTTTTCTTACACTTCTCCCTCTTCAGTATGTTACTAGAATGTGTGTATTTGTGTAGTGTCCATGTGACAGTTGCATTCATCTTTAATGGTGTATTTAACTGTCCTTCATTCCTTTGCTGATTTTCATTCCATAAAGATAACTATCAGGCAATATCTTTTTGTGATGTAAGCCAGCTAAAGAAAATAGACGGATTCAGTTTTCAGTGGTGCAGTGGATTTCTTTCCCCTCCTCATTTTCCTGAGATAACTTTTGCTTGTTTACATAAGGAATTTTAGAGGAAGGAAGTTATTCGCCTAAACCTAGATAAACTAAACTTTACTCACCTAAACTTATAACCTGAACTTAGACTATATAGGGAAGCTGTAGTCTATATAGAAGAAAGACACATCTTCTGAAATGCATTCAATGTGGGAGATGTAAATTTGCTGTTCTGAATTGCTGTCTAGAAGATCCTTCCTCAGCGTATTGATGGCATAGGGAGACTTTGTGCATATTGTGACTAGTAGTAAGCAATATTAATAATTACCCTGAGAGTGCTTTTTGGGGTACCAATTCCAGGCTGTTTGGGGTTTGGGGTTTTTTTTTTGCATTTACAGCTATCACTATAATGCACCTGTTCAGTATTTTTAAAATGCACAACCACAGATTTTGGTTTTTTTACATGTTTATTCTGTACTTCCATATACATGGGCCTTTGTGATCTCTGTATCCTCTGGCTGCACATTAACAAGTTATTTTGCTTCCATAACTTCTGAATATCTTTTATGCTCGCTTATTTCCATATTAGTCTTTGTTTTCTGATTAAAATGAGAACAGAGATCAAACTACTATTGATTAGATTAGAAGATCCTTAAGACCATGATGAAATTTATTTTCAGGCTTCCAACCAAGCTTTGTGTATTTTCTACTATTGTGGAATTGCTGAGGTACAAAGTCTGCCTAGAAAATCTTACTAAAGATGCTTAACACCTGTACTCCCACTGTCCTTAGAAGGAAATGAGAATGTCAAAGCGCATACATTTTTTTAAATAACCATTTTTTCAGCCATTGGCTTTTGTTTTGATTTGGTTTGTTGTGGGTTTTTTAAATTCTGTTGAAGTAATAAAACTTTTTTTAAACTAGTATTTTCAGAACCGAATGTAAGAAAATCTTCAGAAGAGAAGTGTATGTAGGAATGGTTCCTTTGCACTTCATCCCTGAGAATGAATGCATAGATTATAAATGTGTGTCTTTTTAGCTCCTTAAGAATGTTAAACAACTTTTGAATTATAGTGAAATCGAATGAATAGTATATACATAGATCTGTTTATTTAGAAATAGTTTTTATCTTCAATGAAGTATTTAGTTTGTTGAAAGAATGGAGCAAAAACACACAGGCTGTCAACTGAAATCTTTATAATTGACTCTTGAGTTGTAAAATGAGGCTGAAGTGGAGTTATTTTGATTTTCATCATAAATTTGAAATTACTGTCAAATTACAAAACTGAAAGGCATTCTTTGCCTTATTAGTTTTAGGTGCAGCTTTTTTTTTGAAAGTGCAGCATTTAAGCCATATTGCTGACTGTGTTGACCCTGAATGCAAGTGTAGGAGGAAAAAGAGGATTTCCTTTAGAACTGGTACTGATGGAAGAAGATATAGTTGTGCATTTCCTCTGCAATGCATGCTGTATTAGTATCGCAGTGTTGGGCTGGTATTAAAAAAAAAAATAGCAAACACAGCAATTTAAACAGAGTATGAGTAGTGGTGAATCTGTGCAGCTCGCATTTTTGTTTCATTGAAGTGCCAAATAGTTAAATAATGAATAATAGATTACTTATTTTAAAAACGTTTAAGTTTTTTAACACTGCTAAGAAAATCTGGATAATTAGATTTCCAAAATATATAAAACCATATATAAATTAGTCAGCCACCACTTAACCAAACCACTGTTTTAAACTGGAAAATATGTCCTTTTTGTAAATAAAAGATGTGGGCAAGAAAGACAATCCTGTTCCTTTATCATGTCTGTGATGAAAAGACCTTTTTAATTTGTGTGTTTTTATTTAGATTGGGAATGTCAAGAGGGGAATCAATGAAACTCACTGCAGTGCAGAACAATGATGAAGATGAAAGCAATTCTTTCTGTGGATCTTCTGGCATACCTGGTCCTTCTAAGCAAGCAACCTTTGAGGACCAAGAAGAGAAAGGTGCTAAAATTCCACCTTTACCAGAGAGAGATTATTGTCCATCTCTTTGTAGTATGGAACAGGTTCCTGTCAAGGATCTAACGGCAGACTCAGAGGATATACTGATACCTGAAGAATCAATCATTCAGGAGGAGATTGCTGAAGAGGTTGAGACGAGTATTTGTGAATGCCAAGAGGAGAACCATAAAACAGAACATGAGTTTTCTGAGGAGTCAGTAAGTCCAGCTGGCACAAATGAAGAAACAGAGGCAGTACAGCTTGCAGACAGCTCTGAGTCCTGTGTCATGATGAATGATGTAACTGATACTGTATCTCACATTGAAATTAAAGTGGAGTTGAAGTCAGAATGCCCTCAGGAGGAGATGTCAGTTGTGATAGATCAGCTGGAGGATTGCGTATCACCAGCACCATCAGCTTCATCCACAAACTCTGTCAGTGATACAGCAGAGAAGGATTCTGAGTCTGCAAAAGAGCTAATTGCAGCAGAAATGCAAAATGCTGCTCTGGAAGGCTCCTTGTTCACTGGTGGAGGCATTGCGGTGGATATGGAGCTTCAGAGTGACCCTGAGGAACAGTTGTCTGAGAATGCTTGTATTTCTGAAACTTCCTTTTCCTCTGGAAGTCCAGAAGGACCGTGTGTTTGTATTGCCTCTCCTGGAGGAGACACTCAGTCGACTTCAGAGGAACCCTGTACACCAGTATCTCTTGAAACAGCTTGCTCATCTGAAGTGTCCAGTACTGAAAACATCGAAGGTGATATTCAGCAAAAGGCCACTGATGAAAACTTGCACACACCTTTAATGTCAGAAATCTCTCCAATGTCCACCTCACCTGTAACCTCAGAAGCATCTCTGATGTCAAATTTACCTTTAACATCAGAGGCATCACCAGCTTCTAATTTACCTCTAACATCAGAAACATCTCCAATGTCTGATTTGCCTTTAACATCAGAAACATCTTCAGTATCTTCTGTTCTTCTAACTTCTGAAACATCTGTGGCAAATAGTTTGCCTCTTCCATCAGAGACATCTCCAATTTCTAATTCCCCAAACAATGAAAGACTTATTCTGCAACAAAGGAAATCACCGTGTTTGTTGGAAGACTCCCTTCCCACTTTGAAAGAAGAAAGCTCTGCCATTCCTAAGGTGGCTCAAGAAGAGAATCTTCTTGTTCAGCCAAAGCAACTTCAGAGTGCCCCTGAAAATATGAAAGTTGGTCCACTAACAATTACACCTGATACTTCAGTATTGGAAGAGCCCCAAAGCAAAACCCTCAGTCATCAGCCATGTACGTCACATTCTGAAATTGAGAAGTCCTATATTGCATCCATCCCAGAACACTCTCCTCCAGAGGTGATCAAAATTAAAAATCACAGTGTTCAGCAAAGAGGTGACAAGAAAGGTACAGTCTTGCCATCAGAGGTAGCTGTCTTATCAGAAGGATCAGTAGGCAAAAATATTGAATTGCTTCCATCAAAGCCACATGATAAACTATATACCTCATCTCTAGAGAAAGCTACATTCTCTGAAGTGTGCAGAAGTAAATCACACAAGTTAACAGGCAGCACCCAAAGCCGTCTAGAAAGTTCACATTCTTCCAAGTCATTAGAACCCACAAAATCACCTGAAGTGAGGAATGAAAGTAGAGACCCAGAGATCCCAAAGAGGAAAACAGCAGAACAGCACAGTTTTGGAATATGCAAAGAGAAGAGAGCTAGAATAGATGACGATCAGCCTAACCGTAGCGCTTCATCAACGAGTCCATCTGATAAAGATCAGCCACCCAGAGAAGAACCCCGAGTTCCACCCCTTAAGGTAAAGTAATGAATAAACAGGCTGACTTGGAAACTGAAGGTCTATTATCTCCCTCCTACAGACTGCATGCAGACACAGTACGTGGTGTATTTTTTGTGGAGATGTGAGGGGTGTTAGTACCAATGGTTTTGCTTTACTATTGCATTCCTACCATGCCAAATTACTTCTGATATGAATATACCTATAGTTGTTCAGGCAGGGTCTTTGCTACAAAATTGCTTGTGTGAGGGAAGGTTTTCCAGGATCTATGGCTTAATCTAATTCAAGAGGTTCCCCATCATTTACACAGTGCTACTTGTTTTTCTAATTGCCCAACTGTATTATCTGCTTGTTCTCCTGCGGATGACTTCTCCAGCAAGCATGAATAATAAACGTTACCATAACCAATACTAAGAAAAACAACCAGTGCCTTAATCCAGCAAGAGAACCTAGAATCAGAATAGTTGGAGATCTCTTTGCAAGCCCAGGGCTTGGGGTGGGCTGAAGTATAAGATTTCCCTGTAGAATTAATTGGAAACAGAGACCTGGCTGTCAGGGGGAAGTGTCTAATTGATATATGTATAGATATCTTTGTTAATGGCAAAGCAAAAGGTAAAAAAGATACACCAACTAAGCAAACACTTTTATGTTTATCATTCTGCTATGTAAGAAAGTAAATTCCAGTTGAAAGCTTTTTTTTCCTAAAAGAGGGGGATCTGTAGATTTAGTTATATATAGGCTCAGCATTTTGACTGTTTTAATTTTGTACATGATGACATCAGCCAAGTTTTAGATCCAATTTGCTGAACTTAAGCCATTGACTTTACAATACTAGTTCCAGATTATTAAGAAATGCCCTTTTCTGCATTTATTTTTAACTGCTGCAATCACAGAACATTGTTAATATGGCCAGGAGGGCAAATAGGCTAACTGTTTTAATCACTAGTGGGGCAGCATATTTCAACTAATTTATCTTTATGAGCAGTGATGCAATTGGAAGTTAGCCCATTCTGAGTTTAGTGATATTCTTTCATATTTGGAAGGTCTCTATCTAGCCTAATAAATCCTAATCACTCTCAAAGCACAAAGGAAAATAGATCACTAGGGAATAAAAAAACGTCATGACTATAATAATAAAAATAATCAAGCACTTAGAGCTTTAGCAGTTCTGGTGGTGCAAAGTGGAAATTGAAAAAAGTTGCTACTGAAACAGGAAGCAAAATGTTTTGAAGTAATTGTGAGTTTGTGATACTCTTTAAAATACGTTCATGTAAATGTTAAAGCTTCACAATATTAGGCATGATGTTTATTTATAAGCCAAAAATTTAACTGCTAGCGTAAGTGAAGTATTCCAGCCCTCCAGACCAGCATAGAGTTGTATGGTTATATAAATGGTTATATATTACAATACCATCTTAATATTGATTTCCACTGATCTTTTATGGAAAATCAGATGCTGTCAGTCTTGCACAGTCTTAAGAATTGAATCTCCCTGAAGCCTCCAGCCAGTGAATGAGAATACAGAAATGTTGGGAAGCATTTGGAAAAATAACTTTGGAGAATCAATTCTAGTATGTTTTTTGTGTAACAAATATTTGGCTCTTGGGTCATCTCACCAACAAACCTCTATCCTTTGTAATTAAAAGAGGAAAAAGAACCCCAGTTCTCCTAAATCATTCTGCTATATGGCTCTCACTTCCCGTCATACCTTATGACTACTTTTTCTACAAATACTACCTAGTTTTCTTCTCAGTTCTTTTCAGAAGAGAAATCACAGCATTAACCACTAAGTCCTATTACTGTGGACAGCTGATAAACATATGTCCTTTTTAAGAAATTGAAATGTTTCTTTGCCAACCTTTGGGTATTCTGAGAGAGTGTATGAGTTATAAAGTGGTCCCAGGACTCTTAATCTCTAATCCTGAAAACAGATGTGCCTAACTGGAAACATACTAATAATCCCAGCAATTTTACAGGTTATTATTTTGCTTAAAGTTTTAGGTATTTAAAACTTTAATATTTGCATTTTTAATATTTGTAGGTTTGAGGATTTCATTTTTGAAATGCAGTAGTGTAGGAGGTGTCCCAGGGATGTACTAAAGCAAGTCTCTTAAAATTGCAAGTGTGGAAGGGAAAGGCTATCCTTTGGTGATTCAATTCTTTTATACCACTACTCTGAAGTGCTCTGTGGTGTAACATGAAAAACAGGCTTAGCGGAGACACTGCTACATCCTTGCTAAAGGCAAGATTTGTTGCCTGGTATATAAGCGAAAGACAGTCTGTTCCTAATGTCTTAGTCATTGGAGACCAAGGAGCAAAAGCACTACACCGTCATTATTTTTTCACACATTTGCAGCAAGTGCTTAGTCATAGGCTCTTTTCCAGTATCACTGCACTAGGCTTGTTGATCTTCTCAGTTAGATACACTGCATATAAAACAGGTCTGACAAATTGTATCAGATACGCATCATGTTGTCATCCAGTTCGATCTTTTTTCCTGTCAGAAGGATCAACGTGAGTAGGCTAATACAGGTGTGAGTTATTCATGCTGGAGGATGGTAAAATATCGAAGTGTAAATATCATTAATTTTTAGCATTTTTAGTCCAGCTGCACTGAACAGTAATTCCCTTCATTACCTTTCTCTGACCCTTTAAGAGACAGCTGGTGATTTTAGCGAGTCGATGATCTCATTAAAATTTCTGGTTTTTTTCTTTCTTTAGATTCAGCTTTCAAAAATTGGACCACCTTTTATCATCAAGAGCCAACCTGTTTCTAAACCAGAACCTCGAGTTTCCCCAAGTACATCGGTCAGCAGTGGGAGAAACACTGGGGCTAGAACTCTTGCAGATATCAAAGCAAGAGCTCAGCAAGCAAGAGCCCAAAGAGAAGCTGCAGCTGCAGCAGCCGTGGCTGCAGCTGCGAGCATAGTCTCTGGAGCAATGGGGACCCCGTGCGAAGGTGGGAAGACAAGAACACTGGCACACATCAAGGAACAAACAAAGGCCAAGCTATTTGCAAAGCATCAAGCCAGAGCTCATTTACTCCAGACTAATAAAGAATCAAAGTCGCAGTTCAGCTCAAAGGAAAGTACCTCATCTCTGGAGATACCAACTTCTACTGACATAAAGATTGAAGGTTCTACCGGTGTCATTATAGTTAATCCTAACTGCAGGTCCCCTAGCAACAAGTCTGCTCATCACCGTGAGACTACCACTTTATTGCAGCAGTCACTTAACACAGCTACATTACCAGAAACTGCTACTGAAATATCTGTGCACAGTTCTGATGAAAATATACCTATGCCACAATTGTGTGAGAAAATTATTTCATCTACCTCTACTGAAAGTAACAGTGTGCCAGTGCTTTATAATAAAAGTTCAGTCTCTGTGTCTGTTTGCAGCACTGCTATGTCTGGAGCAATTAAAGAACTTTCTTTTGCAAGTTCTGTTGATAAATCCTCTGTTTTAATGTCTGTTGACAGTGCAAACACAGCAGTTTCAGCTTGTAATGTAAATATGCTGAAAACCATCCAAGGGGCTGATACTCCATGCATAACCGTTGGACCAAAATGTATTGATAACAGTAATGTACCAGTCTCCATAGACAATACAGTCTTATCAAATGCCATCGATGACAAAAGGTTGCCGATACCAAGTAGCAATGCGAATAACGCAGTCTCCAGTCATTATGCCACTCTGCCAGCTTCATCCATTGCAAATAATTTGCCAAATCATCTCTCTGGTAGTTCTGTACTGATTCCCCCAGTGGGGACTACCAACAGATTTTCTTCTGATAAGATAGCCATAACTGGGTGTAACGAGCAAGGCACTGTCTCCGTTCACACTACCGTTAGGTCAGCTTTAAGTGGCAGTGAGGCCCTTGCTGTAGCAGATTCTGTTGCAAGGCCGCCCATTTCAATGTTTACTGGTAACATGGTGACAATAAGCTCTTACGATAATGCTACTAAATTAAATGCTGATCTCTTAGAAAAAAGCTCTGGAGCACGAAACCGAATGGATCTCTCTGGTAAATCTCAGCCAGTGAGCTTTACACAAACTGCCGTGAATAGGTCTATACCTTGCAAAGTCATTGTTGACCACACTACAAATCTGAATTCCAGTCTGTCACTTTCTTCTTCTATTGAAAATGCAGAGAACAGCATTGACCTGCAGAGCAGACCTGTAAGGACAGAAGCTGCCTTACAAAGTATAGCCTGTCCTCAGGTGTCTGTCATAAGCAGGCCTGAAGTGGTCTCTAATGAAAGCCTTGAGCACAGTTCCAGCTTTATTACCATTACAGCAAAGCAGGACAGCAAGAACTTGCAGGCAGGTTGTTCAAGTCTTCGAGAAGTGCCTCTTGCTCCTCAAGATAAATTAATTGAGGTGGTTACTCCCAGCCAAGGTTTTGCTGAGCAATTAAGAGGTCCTTCAGCATTTAAAAATGAAGCAGATGCTGCCTGTGCCAATCAGTATAACACTAACAATAGAATTTGTTGGCATGATGAAGAGGCAATGAGTACAGACCAGCCAGTGGTCAGCCATCTTAACTCCGGTAAGCATAAGGAATACGCAGAGCAAAACTGCTTAAAAAATGTCAAAACCGAACCTTCCAATTACACGCAAATGTCAGAACTGCAATCCAGGAGTCTTTTGACGAGCATTGCTGTTCCTGTTAAATCAGAAACTAATGAGTCTGACAAGTGCTTCAGGATGGACACTGACGATTTTACAGGACCTGAAATGCCTGCCCAGACTGCAGAAATAGCCACAAGTGCGCAGCCGCCGCAGACCTCCAAGACACCCATTGCGGACTCCATGGAAGACTCCCTGTCCCTGACAACAGAAACCCTAAAGAGAGTTACCAGTGCCGGGGGCTCTAGCTGTCGCTTGTCGTCAGTGGAGGCCAACAATCCTTTAGTGACACAGTTACTGCAAGGCAATCTGCCTTTAGAGAAAGTGCTGCCACAGCCCAGATCAGGAGCCAAACTAGAAATTAACAGGCTTCCCTTGCCTTTGCAAACTACCTCAGTATGTAAAACAGCAGTGTCCGAGAGAAATATTGTTGAACATCCTTCCAACTCTCCTAATCCAGATGGTAAAGGATTTACAGCAGGCAGCATAGCCCCGCTACAAATCAGAAAGCGTGAAAACCATCCGAAAAAGAGGATGGCCAGGACTGTAGGGGAACATGCTCAAATTAAATGTGAGCCTGGGAAGGTGTCAATGGACACAGATGTTAAAGTGGCTCCTTGTGTAATTAGTTCCAGCATGAATCAGCTAGGGCATGGTCAGCCATTTAAGCA